GATCTGAGGTCCTTTCCAACCTCAACCATTTGGTGATTCTGTGTTTTTTCAAGAGCTCAAATTTTAGACAATAGTGAATAAAATCTCTTTGTCGTACCGATGTGGCCATGTTCAAATGAGGTGCTCAACTTACTAGTGCTTGTTATTTTTTAGTAGGAACACTGATTACAAAAATCTCCTTGTTATTGTTCCAAGTTTGAAAGTGACTCTGAGATCTTTACTTCACATTGGAAAATTGAGTTGAGTGGACAAATTGGAAAAGGTATATACATTATGTCCACTAGAAATTTGATGTATATTTCTATATGCATTCTTCATAGGGATGCAGCTGGAACCACCACATTCAACAACGACACATCTTGGTCTACGAATGTGTGATATTTGTGATACAGTCTTGGGTTGCAATATTATGCTTCAAAATGCAGATTTTTAAGTGCATAAGACTTTTGCCATCATAACATGGGCAAGTTGATGTTAATTATTTACTTACTTTCCCCTACAAAATACTGCTTTCCAGCTACACAATTCTTATTAAATATCTGCATCACAATTTGTGTTATGACAAGTCTTCAACTTAATTTGACATTATAAATAGCAGCAAATATGACTTCAGCATGGTCATTGGACTGTCCATCTCCAGGAAATGTTTTACCCACAAAGGCCACCTGTGCATCTTGTGTTCCAACTGAGTGCTCCAATTCCATATGTCACTTGAGTCTGTTTGTTTGTTTCAGGTGCCCACTGTTACTAGCTACGTTCTTCTGAAAAAAGCCCAGTAGATCTAAAGAACGAAAGAGGAATAAAATACAGGAAACACTGAATAGGGAGGAAATACTGGCTTTTCAGCTGATGGCTTAATCAGACTTATGTGGTCTTTCTCTGCCAAAGAATATTTTACAACTCTGAATATTTTTGTTTCAAATCAGAACAAAAGGGCAACCCTTCTACAGAAGGAGTGACCATTTCTTCCTGCTCAGTTTCCTGGTGGGCCTCCAGAATGGTGAGGAGCAGGGAGGGTAGGTAGGTTTTCAGGATAGCAGGCATATGTGTGATTGCAAACCACTGACTCTGAATTTCTGAAACAGAAATAGAAATAGGCTTCTCTGGAAGCATTTAGACAAGCTCTGCATTTTAGTTTTCAAATGTAAAATCACAAGTTTCTTTTTGCTAAATTTACAGGATGGGAATCTTAATTTAGCAAAAGGAGAAATCCCCACATGACTCTAACCAGAGAACTGGAGGATGAGTAACATTTCCTTTTTTACTTCTTTTTTTAGCATTAAAACTAGTTCTTTTATCCAAGAGGGTTAGTGATGAGATGGTGGTGGAAAGAGAATCAAAGATTAGAGAGAGGGCAAAAGTTTATACTAAACAAGCTTGAATGCATAGGTTTAATGCAGGTTCCCAAAATCTTCACTCTGTCTGCAGATTTCCAAGTGCACAGAAAAAAACTCTTGACCATCTCTCATGGCTTTGACCTTGATTTTAGGTCTAGGACATGAACAATTATTTTAAACAAAATTGAAAACCTCAGAAAACTTAAATATTTCACTCAAAGCACCCAATATGCAGCTGCATTTACCGTGATATATTCAGTAAATCATTCTGCTTCTCTCCTTGCTTCCTTGTTCTCTCAGCAGTGCTTAGCAGAGGTGATTTAGCAGCATTTTCCATATATCACGTGGCTGTATAACTTGAAAAATGACAGTATATTTTGCAAGGCTTGCTGTTTAAAGACAGCAGCTTCTGTCTCCACATGAAATCAGATGTGTCTACTTTCTCTGCTAATTATGAGTATTGGGATCTTGCTGCAAGAACATTTTTCCCCGCTTGGATTTGTTTAAGTTTTTATGATGCAGGTGGTTTACTGACTGTCTGCCACCAAGGGTAAAGAGCATGACAATGCAGAGAAGAAAACTCATTAAAAAGTAAAGCTGTGACACTCCATTCAAGGTTGCATTTCTGAGCTTTGCCAAGAAATGAGCTACTTGTGCAGCTGTAAGTCAATATGAAGCAACTGAAGGCAATGTAAGAAAACTAAGTAAGCAGAACAATTTGTCTTTAAAACACATAGGCACTATGAAGAAAAACGTTCATGAGTTTCGTAGGTCTATTGAGACGAATACTCATGTTGGGAACAGCAGGGAAATTATTTGCCAAGGAGCACTGAGAGTGGCTTGTGAGCTCAAGGCTTGTTTTGTAACAATGTGGCATGGGTACAATGCTTATAAACTGATTTTAATGGACATTGTATTGAACTGAAAAGGCTAATTATAGACTCAAGATTTTTTTCATCACTGTGAACAACATAACATCAAGAATATAGAACTGGCTGTGCTAATAAAGCCTTATGGTAACCACAGACAGCAACCTATTACTAATCTAGTGGTGGTTATAAAAAAAAAAATTCACCCTTTGTCATCTTCAGTGTGCAACAAAACCTAAAGATTTTCCTATTAGCATTGTATGACTTGAAATGACTGTTCATTCAATTAAAGGTATGATTGCATGCTGCCTTTTGAACTTTGTCAGTTTTAAATGCTTTCTGCAGCCAAATGACAGCAGAGATGACATCGCTCTTAAGAAAAATTAACATTGAAATTGCGGTAATTTGGAAGGACCAGACTTCACAGGTAGCTGTGCAAAATGCAATGGTTAGCATGACTTGCAAAGCTAAGTGGAAAGACTGTTTCTCTAACTCATTGCTTACTGAGAATATTCCCTTTACTCAGAAGCACAGAACAGACTTCTGTGAGCCAGCTAGTTTAATAGACCCTGGGCAATCTGGGAAAGATTTCTGAAGAGAACATATCAAAGGGAGTTAAAAGAATTGCATGAAGAACGCACAGAGTGATTTAGAAGATGGCCCGATGTGCGTAGGTGGCTATGGGAAAGGGTAAAGTGCAGAAGATAAGTGCATGAAATTGCTTAGTTCTGAATTGCTTTAAAGTTCTGAACATTTTAACCTCATATAACAAAAGATATGACATCTGTTAAAATAATTATTGTATTGTGATTTAAATAATCATCTTACATATAAGGCTAAATTTTTCTCTCCTGGTTTAAGCTAAAATACAAGAACTGATTTATGCTACACATCAAGGAAATTCAGGGTTAGGTATTACTCAAGCAAACACAATAGCAGGTTGTACACTGCACATCTCAGGGCAATTACTGGCCGCCATGTGCTTTTCTATTCTGTGCAACTTGGCTCATTGTGTAGCGGTTATAATTACTAGTCATTGAGGCATGAAGATGTGGTATAAAATGAAAAAATCCAGACAGCAACGAGGACCAAGAACTTACCCCTTGTTTTATAAGTTTCTGAGTGTTGTGGTTTAACCCCAGCCGGCAACTAAGCACCACACAGCCGTTCCCTCACTCCCCCCACGGTGGGATGGGGGAGAGAATTGGAAGGGTAGTGGAAGTGAGAAAACTCGTGGGTTGAGATAAAGACAGTTTAATAGGTAAAGCAAAAGCAGCACACGCAAGCAAAGCAAAACAAGGAATTCATTCACTACTTCCCATCGGCAGGCAGGTGTTCAGCCATCTCCAGGAAAGCAGGGCTCCATCACGCGTAACGGTTACTTGGGAAGACAAACGCCATCACTCCGAATGTCCCCCCCATTCCTCCTTCTTCCCCCAGCTTTATATGCTGAGCATGACATTATATGGTGTGGAATACCCCTTTGGTCACTTGGGGTCAGCAGTCCCAGTTGTGTCCCCTCCCAACTTCTTGTGCACCCCCAGCCTGGTGGGGTGATGTGAGAAGCAGAAAAGGCCTTGACTGTGTGTAAGCACTGCTCAGCAATAACAAAAACATCCCTGTGTTATCAACACTGTTTCCAGCACAAATCCAAACTATAGCCCCATACTAGCTACCAGGAAGAAAATTAACCCTACCCCAGCCAAAACCAGCACAGTGAGCTTGTGAATATTCAGCAGCCAGGCACGGGAACCAGTGCTTCATGCCCTGGACAGGGGGACAAGGCAGGCTAATGGATTCTCCTCTCAAACACAGTACAGAACAGCAGACTTTCATTCAACATTTCCTTCCTTCATTTTCTGCAGCATTTTGATCCCAGCAATAGTCCATAATACCAGTGCTTTTCACATGCAACACTTTTCCCTCAGCCAGGCCCCTACAATCAACCATTGCTCCCCACACTGGTCCGCTGACCCCATGCCCATCACACCAGCTCCCTCACATCAGTTTTGCTCACTGCTTCAGCTCTTCACCGGCTCCTCCTCTTACCAGCCCCCTCAGTGAGGGCTCTCCTGCTTCCTTGTGGTGTGATCTTTAAGACCCTCTTGTATTATCAAGGGTTATAAGATGGGGCCTCCCACCATGCCCTGCATATGTTAGAACAACAGCCCTGTATGGGTTACCCTTTCCATCATTCATGTCATACCTGCATCCCCTGTAGACCAGTCAGTGCTGGGATCCCAGGTAGTACCTCCATGGCTGCTGAGGCCCCATGCTTAGACTTAGAAAATGCAACATTTCCAGACTGTGAGATAGCTGTGTGGCAAGACCCTGCTCCTCTAGATTACTTCTTCATATCCACAATTAAGATAATTGCCATATTGCTAAAAACTCATTTAGTGAGGGATACAGCATACTTGGTTGTTGCTACTGCAGACTTCTGATGCACAGCTTTATGTCTGAAATAAACATAATTAGAGGCTTGCCTAAATACCTCCACCTTCCCTGACTTACAGTTCAATTTTCATTGAATGGCTCAAACTAGTACAAAATACACACAGGAACAAAAGTCCTAAAGATAAACTTGACTGTTCCTGAGAGATTTCAAAGATCTCTATTGTTTGCTAGTGCCATAGAAGAGAGATGTTCTCTCTGATGCAGTCTTCTCTTTGAAACAGCAGCAAAGTGGCAGGAAGCTCTGCATCACTAAAGGCCCTGTATTTGATGGTTGTTGAGCCTACTGTGCACAGTGACTTACTAAAAAGACACACTACAAAAAAGGTCAGTAGCAGCAATATTTATTCCGGTTGTGAAATTCTGCAACAGAATGGAAAATGGATTTGAGAAATCAAAAAACTGGATCAGATGTGACACGGATAATTATCAAGACAGATGTCTTAGAGGAATGCACCTTCCCCCCTAACGCCCAATGCAGCAGAACAATCCACTAGCACCTGTACTGGCATTCCTGGGCATCAAATATTGCTGACTTTCCTCAATAAGGATGTGTTCTGTATTTGCCTTCTGTTTTTTGAGCCCATAGGGCATACAATCCCATTTGAAAGCTTTTCTCTCTAACCAGGAGAACTATAAATATTTTTATTTGTCTTTTAATACAGGCTCTGATTCTGTTGCACTTTCTAGTTATCAGTAGGGGAGGAGTGAAATTAAATCAAATATTTGGAAATTTATTGTAAATTGGGAACTCATATCTGTGAATACCCAATGGATGGATTTTGAAAACATGATGTGTGGCTCTTACAAATGGTCATTGATTCCTGTTTCTGGGAGATAGGTATGAATCTTTAAAATAGAGTTCTGGAATCATATACTTAATTTTGTTTCATTTAGAAAGGAATTCATAAGAAGTGGATAGAAGTGGTTACACAAGAATGCAAGGGCTGAAAGAAGAAAGAGGGAATGAAGTTGTTGAAGAAAAAGCCCAAGAAGTAGTCTGGCTGATGTGCATCACCAGAGGGCAAGTTAAGCTTAGATTATCCCTGATGTTACATTAACCTGAGCTCAGACTCGTTTTCCCTATCACAAACCCTGGGGCAGAACTCGCTCCCACAATGGCATATCCCAGGATGGGGCTCTCTGCAGAGCTCTGCACACTAGTGCCTGTCCGAGTAGCCCACTTGCTTGACCACCGCAGGATCCACCACTTTCTCACAAATGTAAAAACTGTACTCGCCACACCATGCAGTGCCTATGTTTGCACCTTGAAGCCACACACAATCTAGGAGAGAACTTGAGCTGGCTCGTTGGATCTGAAACCTGTGAAAAAATAGCAGAGTTATTCATCATCCCATGGAAAAAGTCACAGGCTGATACAATAATTCCCGACTGCTGCTACCCATTTGACCCACAATAGCATACAAGCTCTCTGATGCGGGCTTGCCTAGGTTGATAAATGAGTGAGTGATGGGTAACCTGTCTGCTGGCAAGCAGGCAATTACTGAGTGGCAGTTAAAGGTTGCTGCTTCTGGCTCATAACAAATACGTCTGGACGTGGTCTGCTCCTATCTGTGCAGCGACTTACAGATCAGGGGAGAAAGCCGATCCATCCTCCCACAGCCAGGGCCCCTCAGTTCCGTTGTGAAACAGCCCAATCCAGAAAGAGTAAGAACCGTAAGACTGTGCCGATCGCCTTGTGAAGTCCTGTACGGAAATAAATGCAAAGCCTGTGAATCACATCCCTGCTTCAGTCATAACAGCCTACGATTTGGAAAAGGAGAGAGGCAAATGCAAGCGAGCTGCTCACACCTGTGCGTAACAGACTTTGTTTCACAAGTGAATCTGGGCAGTGCCTCCTACTCCTGGCAGCCAGTGCTGTTTTGGAGATAAGGGAAATGAACCTGCTGAGAGCTTTCAGTAGCTCTCAGCTAAAAGGGCAGTTGAGATAACCGAAGCCTGCACATTAGCTGGGTAACGGGTATAGGATAATGACTTCCTTCCAACACCCTGTTTGCATAAGTCAGGCAGGAAAAGGCCTTTGCATCATTTGCTATCATTGTACACGGGAAATTCTAAATACAGACAATGAAACCACAGAGTTCAAGACATAATCCCATTGCCATTAAGGGTCTGGATAGAAATTCCTTCACAGCGAAGAGCAGTTCTGGTGGTGCTCTATCTGCTGCTTCATCTACAGCTTAGGAGTCAGAAAAAGATATGGATCCTCTTCTGTTCATGTGGGAGAAGAGGCCGAGGAGCAGGCCACGCCGGCGAGTTGTGGACAGCAAGAAGCTGAAGGCCAGGCTTCTGATGTTTGCTAAGCAGCTTGCTCCAGCAAGACAACAGAAGATTTGCCAACCAGTACTAGCTCAGTTATATTTGCCCTGAGGTGGGATGAGGATCTAGATGTAGGCTTAAGCTGGTGTGTCCCATTTAACTCCCTTGAAGTCAGTAGAGATGCACCAGGGAGGGTGCAGCTACAGTACAGGTAGAGGGGCTCCAAAGGGGCATGGTTCCACTTGGTCCAGCACACGCATGCCATAACATACTGCACCAGTGGAAGGATGGCATGTCTGTTCAGGCCACAGTAAAATGCAGAGTGTATAATTAGAAAGAGAGAAAAAAATAATCTTTACCAGCTCTTCCTTACTCTCTATCTTAAGAAGTCTGGACTCCAGAACAGAGCATTCAGCCTTGCTTTCTTGCCAAGTTTTCCATTCGTTTGAAAAGTGGTAGCAGTTCTCCCCATATTGTAGCCACTTCTCAGGACAAGGAATACATTTATGTCCTTGAAAACAAAAGAACACCTGATCAGGTTTGTCAGTGATGGCAGTCTCTAGCGGTCTAGTGGATCCCTGCAGGATAACTAGAGCAGTGCACAGCCTCCCTGTCACAGAGGAGCAACTCCTCCTTCATTCTGCAGCTAAATTCATGTCTTCGTTGGAGACTTAATAAACCCAGTTGCCAGAAGACCAGAAAAACATTTCTAAATGAAAATCAGAAAAACAAATAATAAAGATTTTTTAAATCTGACCAGCAAACCTGGAGGGTGCTAGTAGAAAATAGAAGAAATTTTGGAAGGTTGAGCCATGTTCAGAGAGACATGGATCTAGGTGGACGTAAAAGAAAACCTAGACTTTCAGTCATATGGGTACATCTCTATTCATGCAAACTTACTTTTAACTTCTTGTTAACAACACCAGGGCCAGCTCTTCCCTGCTATATGCTTTACAATGCAATTTATACTTAAACTTCTCTGGTAGCATTTCATACTTGCTATGGATTCAGCACGCAGGTGTCAGATAGTGATGGCCAGCCAAAGTGAAACATAATGAGCCCATTAAAGAAAGACCTTTCTGACAGCTGCACTTTGACTTTTTCTGCCACATTGTTCTGTTAGCTGCCTCTTGGGACCCTGAGTAACACTGAAGCCAGAAAGAACTCAAAATGTTGGATTTTTCTTTCGCTCTTGCACCATTTGGGGAGCTCCATTTCTAGTTGGAAACTCAAATAATTGCAAGCAGCAAAAAGACCTGCCAGACAAAATATTTCGGAGATCTCTGGGAACTGGGTCCCAACTATAGAGTGAATCATGTTTGTTGCTCCACAGTTCACAGGATGATTGTATATTGCAACAAACCTGTGCCAGCTGGGAATGCCAGGATGGCAATAGATAGCACAGCACGGTGCACTTGACTCTTACAAGTAGCTTCTGGTTTGTGCTCAATTCAAATGCAGACATTTACATAGATAATAACCTTGCCACTCTCTCACAAGATGTGAATTTGTTATGATTCTCTTCCCTCTGCTATATGATAATCTAGCATATTCAGCTCACCCATCATTAAAGTTTCACGCCATTATTTTGCACAAGAATACCCTCAGCATATAGTCTGTAAACTGTTAAAGCCAGTGATTACAATCCCATTTGTTACAGAGCAGCAGTATTTACACTTCTGCATCTACGACTGCGTAACAGAATGAAGCTGTCTTGAGGAGTAAAAGCATTCCAGACAGTTAAAGCCAGTAGGAATTTTCCATCAAAAATTTTTTACTATAATTCACTGAAACTGACTGTGAAAGAAGGAATGGTAGCATCAATGAATTTACCTATCAGAAACTTTTTTTTTTTTTTAAAAGTGCCTCATCATGGTATTTTCTGAATTAAAATATTTGTTTTAGGGTATAAACCAGCTCTATTACAAAAATTCAATAAACGTACTCCAGAAAGACTGATACTTAAAAAATGACCAAAATGGAAATGCAGCCTTTTGATTGACTCGGTTGAAATTTGTTTTTAAATTAACTAGTTCAGGGCAATTTTAGAGATTTTGATTTTTTCCTTCCAATATGGTTGATAGGGAAAAAAAAATCAATTTGTGGCTACCATAATGTGACAGAACTACCATCTTCCCACCACTATGTACCTCTGGAGGTGGCAAGTTGCTTTACAGTCTCTGTCAAGTTCAAATTCTGAGCCTGGAGGAGCTCCAGCTGCTGGTTGAGGCTTTCCATAATTGCCTTTTGCAGGGTGAAGTTTTCATCCCTTTCACGCAGAAGGTGGCAGACCAGGATGACTTGAATCACAGCAAAACAAGAATGAAATTGTTCCATTAATATTAAAGCTAAACTGCTCAGTGCAACCTGAATAAACTTACCAAAGACAAACGAACCTCCCCATCACTGAATATACTTGACCTACATACAGTTTGTGCACACCTATGAGCAAGATGTAATACATCCCAATTTCAAAGACTGGGAGATCTCTTGAGTGGGTAAACTCTTCCAGCAAGGGACACTTTTTTGCATCATTAATCCCCTAGGCTAATCCTTTTCCTTAACTAATTTCCTAGACTTTTAGTTGTTCATACTGAACTCTGAGCATGCCTTCTGTGACCATACTTACATCTGGCAGCCAAGACTCCTGCAGCTGCCACTGAACTTAGGCAGAAGACCCCAAGTGCCACTGTAGCCAGTCGCCAACAGGAAGATGGACTGGGGGAATCTGGGATAGACAAAAAGAAGGAAAGCAGCAAGAACAGGAACCTCTCATCTTTGTATCTGCAGCTCCTACATGCATGAGACAACATGCCCAGTAGTCTGCCCAGTGAATTGCTGAGTTTCAGAGCAGTATGTGGCATTACATTATGAAAATCATCCCCTCGTTTGGCTGTGGCCAGTCCTCCTTAGGAGTTGGGGGCTAGGAATTAAGCAAACCATGGAGACTAGCTTAGCCAGGAGCTTTTAAGAGAAAATGAATTGGACAAATAAAGCTGAACAGCACAGAATTTCACATGTGGGGAAAGAACGTCAAGGAAGTATTTGTGCTTACAACATGGCTGAAATTTTCATATGCAGCCAGGTATTGGGGTAGCCTAACCTGCCAAATTGGGAATGAATTCACCTTTTCAGAAAATAACCTCAGAAACAGTCACCAATGAAAGCCAGGCCCCTGCAAAATAATCTGAAATTAGGGCATACAGATGTGAACAAGATCACATACCTGCAGTTGCACAGAAACAGTTTCACACATGGAAATGCACATGCCCATTCTTGCAATGTGGGCAAATGCAAACACCTGTGTGAATTTACACAGTCCCAAAACACAGAGGAAAGGACTGCTTCAAATTTATGACTTTTGTGTTCTTTTATTAGACTCCAGTACGAAATGTCAGTGGGAATACTAATATTATGTTGAAGTCACCAACAGAAATAACTGGCATATCAACCTGTGGTATTTCTGCCTTTCATTCCCTGTGTTCCCTAACCCTTTAACTAAACAGTTGAGAAGAACCCTACTAGACTACTGGGAGTTCAGCTTCAGCCTCCAAGTATAAAACTCAAGGGCCCCTCAAAAAGTGAGAATGAGATGATCACTGGCTAGCCAATAAGAGGAAATTTCCTTCAAAAAGAGCTCTTTAGTCTACTAGATTATTATAAAATTTATCAAATTCATGTCCAGACATTTAGTCATGCTGGAACAGCATGCTATGCTAAGGCACATGGAGGACAGGGAGGTGATTCAAGACAGCCAGCATGGCTTCACCAAGGGCAAGTCCTGCCTGACTAACCTAGTGGCTTTCTATGTTGGAGTGACTACATCAGTGGACATGGGAAGGGCTACAGATGTCGTCTATCTGGACCTCTGTAAGGCCTTTGACAGGGTCCCCCACAACATCCTTCTCTCTAAACTGGAGAGGTATGGATTT